GGCTCACCCTTTATGGGACATTATTTTCAGGTACAGGTAGTATGCCACCTCCAAGGACATAGCTTGGGTGAGGATGAGAGTTGAAGACTCTTTTTGTTTATTTTGATGTATTACTTGTAAATTCAAGCCAAGGGCTTAATATGTATTGAGTTAGCACTCTCCTTTTTGTAACCAAGTGTTAACTTGGAAAGCTGTAAGCCCATAGAGCATTTGCTTTTGTTGTTAACATGTAATACAGTTGTAAGAATTACTCTGATAAATATTAAATGGTTAGTTTCTTTTATATCAATGCATGTCTAAAGTGATGGGTTTCTTGTATTATTTTGAGGGCGTTACAGCGACCAAAGTAGCGACCAAAAAAATTGGTCGCGGATAACTTTTGCCGACTGTAAATGGGCTTTTAGCGACCAATTTTTTGGTTGGCAAAAGTGTTATTTCTTGTAGTGGTCAGTCCGCCAATTTCTTGGTTGGCTGACTAATTAATTTGGCCGGGCAGCCAACTTTGGTCGTGGCTGACTGTTTTGCATGAAACTGAATTTTTCGACATAATTCACATCCTTTTCTTCTATTTCCACATTGTTCTTTGCTTAATTTCCTGAGAAAATGTTTCTTTTTAAAGTGTTTTTGGGCTATCTTCTAAAGGAGATGTTGAAAAATACAAAGACAAATTGGTTGGGAAATGTTACAAGTAAGAATATGGCATAGACTATGATGAAGTTTTTGCTTCAATAGCACACCTAGAAATAGTACGACTTTTTATCTCTTTAGCAACCTAGAAAAAATGAAAGATATACCAAATGGATGTCAAATCAACATTCTTAAATGGTTATCTTGAAAAAGAAGTGTACATTGAACGGCCATTAGGCTATATAAAGCCAAACCAACAAGATAAAGTATACAAGTTAAAACAAGCACTTTATGGCTTGAAGCAAGCACCACGGGCATGGAATGCAAGAATTGATAGGTATTTTGTTGCCAATTGGTTTGTTAAATGTCCTTATGAACATTCCCTATACCTCAAGACAAACAAGGGGGGAGATTCGCTTTTTTTTTTCTTTACGTCAATGATCTAATATTCACAAGCAACGATCTCGCATGATCTGAGATTTCAAAGCATCCATGATACAAGAGTGCGAGATAACAGACATCGGACTCATGGCATATTTCTTGGGCATAAAAGTCAAGCAAAGTAATAAAGGCATTTTCGTATCACAAGCTAAGTATGCCCAAGAAATCATAAAGAAGTTTGGCATGGAAAATTGTTAAGCTGTCGACACACCGACAGATAGAAGTAACAAGATGTCCAATTATGATGAAGGAGATAAGGTTAATCCAACATATTTCAAAAGTCTAGTTTGAAGCCTAAGATATCTCACAGTCACACGACCTAATATATTGTTCGCAGTAGGCTTAGTTAACAGGTATATGGAGAAACCCAAAATGCCACACCTGAAAGCAGCCAAAAGAATCCTACGGTATATGAAAGGTACAATAGAGTATGGATTGTTTTGTTCATCTACAGATGAATTTTAATTAGTAAGATACAGCGACAGTGACTGGGCAGGCGATGTAGATGATCGTAAAAGTACTACCAGATTTGTGTTTTATCTCGAAGATACAGGTTTTACGTGGTCCTCAAAGAAACAATTGATAGTAACTCTATCGACATGTGAAGCAAAGTATGTAGCTATTGCTGCAGGAGCATGTCATGCTATCTAGTTAAGAAATTTGCTGAAAGAAGTTCAAGAGCCATAACAAGAAGCCACAGAGAGATAAGTGGATAACAAGTTAGCAATGCCATTAGGAAAGAATCCAATCTTCCATGATAGAAACAAGCATATCAACACAAGAGTTCATTTCATAGGAGAATGCATAAGAAAAGAAGAGATCCAGTTGATACACACAAAAAGTGAAGATCAAGTTGTAGACATGTTTACAAAGCCCCTCAAAACAACAACATTTGTGAAGCTAAGGAAAATGCTCAGAGTTATCTCATTTGGTGATTCAAATTTTAGGGGGGATGTTGGAGAACAAACTTGACTCTTCAAGTAATCTCTAGAAGCTGCCTAAAGATAGAAGAAGAAATTGAAAAAACAGCCATGAAGCTTCCTTGAAGCTCACCAACTCAGAAACTTAGAAGGTAAGAAACTGAATTCAAAATCACAGCTATAAATTCACACACAGTTGATATCAAAAACCTATAAATAGATTGTTAGGTTGTTTTGTTATAGAAATCTATCAATCAATCATAAATCAAGAAACCCATAAGAGGTTTGATAGATAGAGAGATGGGAGATAAAACCCCACAGATTGTATTTGTTTGAAAATAAATTCATTCATTTGTTTGTGTATGAGACATCATAAATTACATTTAAAATATATAGAAGCGAGCCCTGTTGAATTGAATGTATTCCAAGTCAATGTCAAATCTGCGTTCCTAAATGGAGAATTACAAGAAGTGTATGTCGAGTAGCCTCAAGGATATGCCACAAAAGGGAAAGAAGAAAAAGTTGGTTGACTTTGAAAGGCATTATACGGCTTGAAGCAAGCCCCCCACGGATGGAACAACAAGATCGATGGCTACTTTTGTCAAAGTGGATTCCAAAGAAGCCCAAGTAAACCATCTCTTTAATTATGTGAAGAAATAAGGTACAAAATTCTTAGTTGTTTTGACTTGATTTACTTTGGCACAGACATGAAGCTGGTTGAAGATTTTTTTTAAAAAAACAAACGATGAAGGAATTTGAGATGACAGACTAGGGACTTTTGGGGATTCAAGTTAAGGAAGGCAAAGAAGAGATTTTTCTTTCTCAAGAGAAGTACATGGAATTCTTGCTGAAAAAATATCACATGGCTATGTGCGAACCAGTTGCTACACCTATGGTTCAAAATGAGAAGTTGCAGCAAAAAGATGAAGCAAAATTAGTGGATGAAAAAATTTATAGAAGTCTTGTTGGTTCCTTAATTTATCTTTACAAATACAAGACCAGATATTGTATTTTGGGGGATTTTATCAAAATCATCGTAATAAAACTTTAATACATTAAGAATAAATACCAAAAAAAAAAAAAAAAAATTTCAAAAGTCTAACACATGCTACTATTATTAAAATATTAAATTTTAAAATAATATAACATTTGATCTAAATATCGGTTTTTAATAAAATTAATATTTTTAAAATCTTTTCATCAAGATCTATCAAATAAGATCTATGTTAATTATAAAATTCTTTAAAAAAAAAATTATTATTACCGTTGAAATTGATGTAAACAGTAACATGTTACTTTGTTTGACAATAACATGTTACTCTAGCAATATCGTCTAATATATATATATATATATTACTTTATTTTTACTCAATTATACACTTCCTCCTTGAGAAGTTTATAAAACAAAATAAATTAGGTTATCCTTCTCATTAAATAAGGGCCCAACGGAAAGGTTTTAACTAAATTTCCCTTGTATTTTCTGTGAGATTGATTTCCAGGTACATGAATCAACCTAGCGTGATCCATTATGCAGCAGCAAAAGGAATACAGCGGTATCTACAAGGAACCAATATGGCATCAAGTATGTGAAAGAACAAGAGTGCAATCTAGTTGGGTATATACCGACAGTGACTGGGCGAGCTCTCTTGATGATCAGAAAAGTACGGCTGCTTATCTCTTTCGTCTAGGCTCAAATGTGATATCATGGAGTTCAAGGAAGAAATGGCATTATTGTCTTCTGAAGCTGAGCATATTGCAGCAACAGAAGTACCGTGTAAAGTAGTTTGGTTAAGGAGGGTTCTCAAAGAAAAAAAAGGAGGGTTCTCAAAGACCTGAAGCAAGAGCAAATGGAGCCTACAAGGATTCATTGTGACAATATATCACCAATTGCAATGAGCAGAAATCCCATTTTCCATGCATGGTCAAAGCATATCAAGCTTCGCCATCATTTCATTTGAGATTTGATTGGCAAGGGAGATTGTTATAGAGTTCATCGACACCAATGATCAGCCAGCTGATATTCTGACTAAAGCAGTGACTTTAGAAAGATAGAAAAAAAAAATCAAGAAGCAACTAAAAATTACAAATTAAGAAGGGGTGTTGCGTTAATTTGCAATTTGTTCTTAATTTGTGATTTGTTCAGTGTAGAGTTTTCCAGAACATGAGTAGTTAGCTGATGCATTTAGTATCTAAGTAACATTTTCTTACAATTGGGTAGATGGTAGTTGATTAATTAATATTTTCTGGAATTATCTTCATCATGTATAAATAGTGCTCTTGGTGTATTAAGAAAGGCAAGTCCAAGGAGACCAACAATTAATCTTATGAAAAGTTCCAGCAACAAGAGAAGCAACTCAGTTTCAAAAATCTTTCTACAGAAAAATAAATCCTTTGTTTTGTTCATTTAAATAGCAACTTTGTTTTGTAAAAATTGTCCCCATTGCTTGCTCCATCATAATTCTATTCTTTTGATCTCTAATTGAGCACTTTAATCCTTGGGCAAATTCATTCCACCTTCTGCTGCACAAACACAATGTAGTCTTCTCTACATTATTTATTAGTGTTGGATGGGGTGAAATCTAGAGAACAAAAAAAAAAGTTTAGAATATTTTTTTACAAATGAATAAATTGACAAAAATATATATACAATCACTAGTTTAAAAAAAGAAATGAAAAAGGTGAAAAACAAATAGAACTGAAATCTAAATTAACAATTTTTTTCATTCCCCTTTCTATATCCAAATCTATTATCTAAACACGTGCCTCTTTTTTTATTTGGATAATTACACTACAGTAGAATCTTGAAAAAATAAATTATATATTCAGAAAAATAATTACAATTTTAATTATTAATAAATTTCTCACTGATTTTTGTTTTTAAAAATCTACGGATGTAATATTTCTCCTTTTTAATTCTCTTAATGTCATTTGTCTATATATTCACTCGTATTTAATAATTGTGAAATCTACTTCATGAACCTTTTACTGTATTACTGACTAAAACACAAAATATCACACAAAGCTTTATGAGATTAAAACTTGGCTGTACCACGCTTTAGCGTAAGGGTACAGTCTTTGAGACAGAGAAGCTACTAGACCAAGAATGGTCATTGTTCCAAAACCCAAATTACACCCACACACACACACACACAAAAACAAAAACAAAAAACAAATAGCAAAAAACAAAAAACAAAAAAAGTTTTACTCCAAAACCCTAAATTTCAATGGAATGCAGCAATAGCCATCGGAACTTTGGTGGATGCAGTATCAGGTGGCGGAGATGGAAGCATGGTAACTGCAAACACCCCGCTCGCTGCTGCTGCAACCGCACCTACAACAAACGCAGGTAAGTTGCCACCCCCGAATAAGGCATCCCACGGTCCACTTGCTACTGATACCACCATCTGTTTCAACATTCAAATATTCAAAAAAAAAAAAAAAATCATCCATCAGGATCATGAGAAATAAAATTAAGATTACTTAATGGAACAAAAGGCATATATGTAAAAAGTTTGTTCTATGTTAAAGAAGTTTAACGTGACACAATCAAAAGTATATAACAATCTTAACAACTACAACACTTGTAAAGTCATCCATTAAATTTCGACTAGTACACTTTGGTATAAATTTTTTCTGGCCTTTCTGGTGGAATTGACTTTGTTACCCTTTATGAAACCAATCAACCCATATCATGCAATTAGTTCAAATGGGGTGGTTTGATTTTCAGATTTTAAAATACATATATGTGTATATATATATATATATTAATTTGATAAAAACAAATACTAAGAATATATTTTTACCTTTAAAAAAATCATATCAAAATAGTGGTTTTTTTTTTGTTTTTTTTTTTGGCAATTTTATTTTTACCAAACCGAAAAACGAATTTAATTTGTTAGGCTTTTGTGAACATGTGGCATGACCCTCTATGCCATGTGACATGCTGATGCTAGTTATGGGTTTACATCACTATATTCCAATACAAAAATGCTTGACCCCAAAGTTATGGATTTCCATGACCTTTAAAATGATGTGGATCAATCATGTATTTTTATTTTTTTTCTTTCCTTCCTGAACTAATCACAAGCGAGTAAGAGTTGCGTTTTTTGAGAGTCTAGCATTATTGATTCCAAAATTACTTTTGCATTGGAGCTCAATCATGAAGTTATAAAATATTATGGAGAAATTACTTATCAACTGAATAAAAAAAAAAAAATTACGCAAATACGGAGGGTGCAAGGGACCTGCACCCCCACCCCACAGTTTTTCAATGCACTCCCACCACAAAATTACTTATACCCTCCATATTTTTATAATTTTTTTTCCACTCCACTGTTAAATAATTCCCCAAATATTAATACCAATAATGATATATTTTATATTTTTTCGATTTAGGGCGGATTTGGCTTATCCTATATAAGTCAAAAAGTCAAAAAATTACTCCAAAATCAAAAAAAATATCACTATTCTAAAAAAAAAAAAATCAATTTTGTTTCAAAAAAGTACACACCGAATTCAATAAAGTGCGGCTGCTGTGTGCGTAAGTGAGAAAAAAGAAATGATTGGGTGTGATTTTTACACACACCGTTGTTTGTCCCATGGGAGCCATCACGGGTCCCGTTTTGATAATCTGAACCGTTCAATGTGTAGAAATCGTCGAGTACTATATGTCTAAAAAAAATCACATTGATCGGATATCGATAACAATATGATCAAATCAGTTATGTACAACAAATGGATAGTGTTATAATTAATGATTGAAAAGTAAATAAATCTGATCAGATAGCTATCAATATCCGATTAACGTGATTTTTTATAGGTACATAGTGTTCGACAAGTTACACATATTGAACGGTTCAAATTATTAAAATGGGACCCGTGATGACCCCCACGGGTCAAACAAAACCGTCCAATGCTTTGTACAAAAATTAGCCAATAATTTCCAACTCAAATTACACAACCGGTTGTGCAGCCGGTTGTACGGCTGGAGCCCACTCCTCTCTTATCATCTCTTACACACTTTTTTATACAATTTTTTAATACACATTTTTCCATAAAAAGTCAAAAAGTTAATCCAAACCTCTATATTTTTTTTTTCTTTTTTAGTCCAAAAAAACAAAAATGCACTTTTTTAGGACACCCCAAACCAGCCCTTAGTGTCATTGAGAAAGTTCTTTTTATTCACCCAAAAAGGAGAGAGTTCTTTTAAATTGGGAGTCTTGGAATAAAGATGAGAATAATACTATGCACTTATAAAAATATTTTAAATATAAACTATGTAAACTAAAATTTGATCGGGGTAAAATCTACGTTACATTAAAATTAAATCCATACTATCGACACACTTTATTTATAAAGTACCCATTAAATACATACTTTTTTCATAAAGAGAAATGAATGGTGAAGAAAAGAGGCACCATTGTTCATGAAAATTCTACAGCTTAAAGCTTTGTTTGGATGCAGTTTTTTTTTTTTTTTTTTTTTTTTTAATAGTTTTTGCGTAGGTACAAGGCATTCGAAATTATGGGTTTTAAATGATATTTACACCTAAACAATAAAAAATACTATATTATAATTATCCTGAAGTAAAATTATTTGGAGCTGCAATAATTAATTACATGAGTGGAAAAATCTTACCTGTGGGATAACTATTGCAAGATTCAGAACTCCCAGAGAGAGACCTATGAAATTTAAAAATGAGAAAAAATCTTAGAATAAAATTACTAGTATACTATATAATCCCCCAAAAAAATACTTCAAAAATGGGTACAAACAAACTACACAATATTGATTTCTTGCGTTCAAAAAAAACTCATATAATGTATACCTTGCCCTGCACCAGCTCTGTTTGAGAAAATGGATGCTAGAGCAAACGGAATGCTGTAAGTCACCTGCCAAACAAAGTACAACAACCATCAACAACATCATTATTTCATTATTTATAAATAGAATAATGCTTGGGACCTCATTTTGGGAGTCACCCCCTCACCCCCTTTGTCACGTGACAGGTGGTGATTGAAGGAGTAGGAAAAAAAAGAAAAAAAAAAAAGAAAATGTAACCAATGAGAGAGAGAGGGGGGGGCAGTGGGGTCAAAGGGGTGGGGGAAAAGGGGGATGAATCATTGTTGTTATAAATAATCCCACAATTTGAATATCTAAATCTTATTTTAAGGTGTCTTATCAGAAAGATATCTGAAAAGTAGTGAGAAAAAACTAAGTTAAAATTTACTAAAACAATTAAAAAACTAAAAAAAAAAATAACTTTTAACCGAATTGGGTTGCCAAAATTAGTGCCTTCATTGCTTTTAAAAATTATTTTGAATTCCAGTTTCTCTGCATGCACTCCACATAGTGCAGGGTCTTCTCCAACTATCACTTACACTTGTGAATCAAAATCCTCTGTTTCACCTCACCTACTACCACGTGCACCTTCTCTATAGTAAACTTTTAATAATATTTTAAGGGACTCCTATATTTCACAAAACAATTTCTTTTACTATTTTATACTCCCTTCGTTCTAAAATAAGAAATCTATTTTTTTAGTACTATAATTATTACATTTTAAAAATATTAATTTTCTAAATTATTCATTGATAATATTTTTTTTTTAAATATCAATTATCATAATTGTATTTTTTGTGTTGTAAATTTTAAAAAAAAAGACAAAATAAGAAATTTATATTATTTTAATTCTTAATTTTTAAAAGTAAACTAATATTTTAAGACAATAAAAATTAAATAAGAGACTAATATTTTGGGACGGAAGAAATAGTATTAAAAGGCAAGTTGGGGACGCACACTTATCCATTAAGAACTTTTTTGTCTGAACGGATGATTGTGTGGTAGAGATTAATTTGTGTAGTATAAAATTTATATAAGATTCATATAGAGTATGGTGGAGAATAATTTCTGGTAATTATTAAATTGATAAGGATAAATTTGTAATATTACTCATTATCAAAGTATAAGAAAAAAAATTTATTATTTTTTTAATAATTATTTCTAAACAAAAAACTTAATCCGGTGGGCAAAAAAATTGGTTGAAATATTCTTTTTATCTTTTTTTTTTTTTTTGATAAAAAAATTTAAGTGAGAGAAGGCTATTCCAATTCAGGATCAGAGCAAGTCACAAGTCTCTATGAGAATTTACAATATTAGATTTATAGATCGTTCACTAAAAAAAATAAAGAATTACGGACAACGAAAATTGAACCTAAACACGGCCTTATTTAGTTTAACTCTTAAAATATAATTTTTTTTTAAAAACTATCAAAATTTTGTTTGGCTGCAAATTTTTTCTAAAATCATTTTTCTTTTCTACACATCAATCAATTTTTTTTTTTTCGTCTCTCTTTCTTAATCACTTTTTTTCTCAAATACATCTACTCAATTACAACAAAATATCAAATTATAAACTCCCATACTCCAAAACTATTTTCATAATTTACAACCTAAACAAACCAAAAAAAAATTCTAAACTCTCTCTTCAAAAAAATTTTAAAAAATTTATCTCCCAAAATCAGACCAAACACACCCAAAAGTTTAATCTTTACTACCACTCTTCGTTGACTTTTTATTATTATTTTTTTCAAAATGCAATTTCACAAAACATGTAAAAATATGTTATAAGATTTAAGAAGGTATTTAAAATATTTAAATAAGGCTTTGTTTGGGATGTGGATTAATTTTTTAATTTTTGGTTTTTTTGAGTATTCTTGAGGTTAAAAAGCTTTGTTTAGAATGAATTTTTTATTTTTTTTGACTATTGTGAGAAAAAATAAAATAATTATGGATTAGATATATACTTTGTTTTATTTAATTAAAATAATTAATTTTATCCTATATAACTATTTTAATCTAAATATGTATTTCAAAGGGAGATGTTTACTTTTTAATTTTTTATAAATAGATATAAAAATAATAATCAGTATGTTTGGTTTGAATTTTCTGGATTAAGTTTTTTGAAAATTGAGTTTTTTATTTTTTGTATTTTTTTTGTTTTTAGTGACTATTTTTAAAATTTTAAGCATTTTTTTTTACTTTTTTAAGATATACCATACTTAGATGTATCTAAAAAGTAAAAAGATTGTGAAAAATATTTTAAAAAATTAAAAAATACATAAAAATACGAAAAACATACTAAATTTTCGTATTTTTTTTGTGTCTTTAGTATTTATTGAATGTAAAAAGAAATCACAAAAATTATACTTTTTATGTGTATTTATGTTAAGCGTGTTTAAAAATTAAAAAAAAAATTTACTTAAAATATTAAAAATTTTAATAAAAATAAAAAAATACGAAAAATAAAAAAATAAAATTTCTGTTTTCAAAAACAACAATGATTCATCCCACTAAAAACATCACCACTAATAGCACTAATACATTAAAAAAATAAAATAAAATAAAAAAAAACACAACTCCAAGACCAAAACATCACATCATTAATGACGGGACCCACTGCCACCTAATTAGTGGGAGCACTAATTAGTGCTCCCAAGCATTTTTCTTTCAAAAAAAACGAAACCAAAAAAAAAAAACAAAAGAAGAAGCGAAAAGAAAGTGCACTATTAGTCCACCCATACACTAAAGTTTGTTTCTATTAGTCCAACCAAACACCAAAGTTTGTTTGGTAAAAAGAAAAATGCTTGGAAACACTAATTAGGTAGTAGTGAGTCTCGTTATTAATGATGTGATGTTTTAGTTTTTGAATTATATTTTTTTTTGTGCTATTAATAGTGATGTTTTTAGTAGGATGAATCATTGTTGTAAAAACAAACTCCTAAACCAGCGTGTCAAGTCAGACTACAGATAAGGCGAAGAGCTAATGTACACGTCGATAGCACGCGCCACACTCGTGCGGTAGGAAATAAAAACAAAAGAAGCTCACCGCTAGAGGGATTCCGAGAACGGAGAAGAGTGTCAACGCGCCGACCTTGACGCCGGTATCAGGATGCGAAGGGGTGGCTCCTCCGTTGTGTGCGGCGGCGAAATGGCGTGCGGACTCTGCTTTTTTGGTAATCACCACCGTCATGGCCAGACAAATCGCCAGCAAAAAGTTGACCACACCCCACAAGCGCTTCACCCCGCCGAGCCCACGAGCCATGTGCTCCACCGCGAGTGACATGAACCCCAACACCACCGAGTTCAGCATCAGCCCCAATGCACCCGCGCGGACGCCGTGATCGTAAGCCTGTCCTTCCCCAACCTTCCCTCCGTACACCTCCCTGCCCATCCAATCCGTGTCGAACAACAAGAAAGGGAACCAAGCAATCCAATTAAGACACGTCACCAGAAGCAAGATCCACATGGGCCTAGGCAAGTCCTTCAGCGCAGCGAATATTTCTCCGAAGAACGGCACCGGCTTAGCCTTTTCCCCATCCTTGCCGACCCCGTCCAAGACACCGGTATTTCCCGATTCCGGTTTGGAGATGGGTTTTTCACGCACTGTTGTTAGAGCTATGGTGGTTAGAGTGATTAAGAGAGCGATTGAGATAAAGAAACAGCTCTTGAGGTTCGCACAGTACACATCACATGCACGTGTGGATGAGAATGGGAAGGCTTTGTGGAGATGGGTATATGACCCGGCGGCGAACCCGAGAACGTTCCCGACTGCCATGAAGAAGGAATATAAAGAGTTGGCGGTTCGCATTTTCCGTTGGTTGTCGCCCGAAAGATCCGCCAGGAGGGCCCGGCAAGGGCCTTGGAGCATGTTATTGGCGACGTCGAGGATCCAGAACCCGACTACGAAAACCGCGATGGCTCGGGGTTTTGGGGTCCGACCCAGGTTGTCGCCGGAGAGGTGGCCTAGGTCGGCGGCGAAACCGATGAGGAAGACGGCGATGGCGACCAGGCCAGCCCCGGCGGCGATGAAGGGGCGGCGGCGGCCGAATCGGGAGGTGCAGCGGTCGCTGTAGTAGCCGACTAGGGGTTGGACTATCATGCCGGAGATTGGGCCGCAGAGCCAAATGAAGGCGGCCCAAGTGTGGGGGATGCCCAGTAGCTGCACGTAGGGTGTTAGTAGGGAGAGCTGTAGTGCCCACCCGAATTGGACCCCGGCGGCGATTGACGCCACAATTATTGTCTTCCGCAGCGACGATTTCGACAGCGCCGGCGGTTGTTGAACTTCCAAAGCCGATGGTGGTGGTCGCTCACTCTCCATATTCTCTCTCTCTCTCTCTCTCTCTGTCTCTCAAGCTATGTATGTATATGTGTGTGTAGATGTAATGTATATATAAATAGAGAGTGTTAGGGTTTTTGGGAGAGGTTGAAGTGAGTTGTTGGGGGCAGTGGATGGGGAATTTATAAGGGGGTTTTTTGCGGCATTGCTTTGGAGAGGTGACTTGGAAGTATAAAAACAGTCTTATCCATTTCTGTTCGAAATTTGCACATTTTGGACAACGTATGACAAATGTCACAAATTCACTGCGTATGTGGCGAGCTGTATAAAATATTTTTAAAATAAAATTATTAGAAGTCTCAAAAATTTTATTAAATATTTGATCAAATATTTTATATAGTTGTGAATCTGTCATTCATATAGGATTTTGTAAGACTCACACTTATGTAAGATATTTGATCAAATATTTAATAAATTTTTTTTTTTGTATTTCTAGCATAACTCTTTTTAAAATAAAAAATTATGGTGCACACCCTGCTCTCATAAATTAGTGAGTTGTTTAAAATATTGTTAAAGGAAAAATTATGGGCAATGTGTATCATATACACTTTATGATTAAAGAAAAAAATTATATAACTTCATATTTTTTAAGTCATAATTAAAATTTTAAAAAAAAAATGGTCATAACCAAACATTATATTACAAATATCTCAAAATAATATCATAATTAAAAAATGGTAAATTATAAATACACTCCTGAAGTTTGCTTAAAATACAAATTGCTCCTTGTGGTTTGAAAAATCACAAATACTTCCCTGTCAGAATTTGTTATTTGACAGAATTAATTAAAAAAATGAAATTTTTAACTATTTATCTATACAATAATAAAATTATCTGAATTATTAATTGAAATAAAATTTTAACATTATTAAAAACTGTTAATTAACTTGATAATTTATTATTAAAATGACCTATTTGTTATGAAATTAGAAATCTTAAAGGATATAATGTAATTTCTACAACCATAGGAGTAATTTATAATTTAAGTAAATCTCAAGGGGTGTGTTTGTAATTTATCCTAAAAAAATTAATCATAACAAAAAAGAAATGACATAACTAAAAGTGTGTATGATATTGAATTGTATGATAGAATTCTCTTATTGTTCAATTCGTCAAAATCGCATCGATATACACTAATTCACACATATTTATACATTGATTGTACATTAAATTTTAAAATATATAATCCGCTTTTAACATAGTTAATGCATATAATTTTTTAAGGAAAATTTTATTATATAGACCCCCTTAAAAATAGTGTACCATATGCACATCTAAGTCATATTACAACTAATGAGATCTTTGGTAATACGTTATTAGTGTTTGATTATGATTTTTTATAGTTATAACGTATGGAGTAATGTCATTTTTATCTTTAGTTATAATGTACATATAATACACATCCTTGGAGTATGTACCATAGTTTTTCTCTTTTAATATATAATGAAATACCAAAATAAAAATAAGTGTGAGAAATGTTTAAGATGTGAAATATATCACAAATTATTAGTAGTTATACACATAAAAATATTATGTAAAATTAATTTTTTTTTATATTTCTGAAAATTATTATACAAATTAGTATTATATGTTATACAAATACTTAATAATTATTTTTTAAAAAATCTTTAATTAACTAATAAATTGAAACCGTCTCAAACCATTCAAATCACGATTTAATTATTTGTCAATCCAAATTTTACGATTTGGTTTATAATTTCAAATAGCTTGAATTGCAGTGCTCACGCCTTTGTATATGGCAATAGGGGAAATTACTTGCACTTGTACGTGGTGTCAGTAAAAAATTATTATAAACTCCTAATAAAGTTAATAATTTTAATTATTAGTATTATAATATTTCCAATTTATTGTAATTAATTTTTACTGAATCATTTGCAGTGTAATTTTCCTACTAAATAAGAAAAAAAGAGTGGTGTTACATTCCCTTAATGTATCACATTTATTTTGACCTCTAATCAAATAGAAGAGAAATGTTGAAAGATGGAAAGAGAAGAATAAAGAGTAATCCATTCCATGTCATTATATAGTAAATTAAGAATACTCAATTAGCTTCCAAAACATTTTTCTAAGAGAAAAATAGAGCCAATTACATTACATTATCAGTCTTCATAATTTGGGACTTATATCAATTTCATCTGTGACTATTCAATTGTGACACATTTGACTCTGAATTTTGAAATCTTATTCTAAATAAGAACAATTGAAGATACATGCTCAATTTCAAGGGCAAAATCATCACATTGATAAAATATAATAATTTGACAAAAATAAATTTCAAAAAAATATTTTTGAATTTTTGAAATTATTTTTACCCACCAAAGAAAAAATTATATTAAAATTGATAAATCTTTTACACATTTATTACTTATTTACTAAATTAATTTTTATTTATATGTGTTTAATAATGGTCATGTAATGAGTGATTATTTGGCATTTAATGTGTAATCGATTTATTTAAAATAAAATATTTTTATTTTTAATATTTGATTTAATGAATTGGTTTAATAAGATATCAAAATTGTCATCATATTTGACTTTTAGAAAAATAAAAACTAATTTAATTAAATAAAAGCAATTATCCATTACATGATTATCATCCAAACACATAATAAAAACTATTTTGGTAAAAAAATAAATAAATGTGTAAAATATTTATCAATTTTACATAATTTTATCTTTGGTGAGTAGAAATCATTGTTAATGTGTCACAATTAAAAAGTTGAGAACTAAAGTGACACAGTCCTAAACTATTAAGGATGATTAGTGTAATTCACCAATAAAAAATATTTTACAAACTAGGTCACACATCATGTGGTTCCATCCCTTATAAAAACATTTATATCTCTTTATGTATTTAATTCACTATGTGGTGTTGTTTCGAGAAAGTGCTATATA